AACAAACTGTATTAATAAATGCTTATTATGATGTTTCTTTATGTATTGTTATATATGTTATAATAATTGTTAAAATAAATAAAGTAAAAAGTGTTATATGTGTAGTAAAACGTTTGAATAAGTAGAGTAGACGATGATTAGTAATTATAATAAATGTATTTTAGACCCCCAGCAAACATTTTGGTTACAAAACCATATCTATCTGTTTTCCTTAGTAGGATATGGTTTGTTAACCATGTCTTGTCAACATGTGAAATGTCAAAATGCGACCAAAATGATGACGGAGTCTGCCACAAGCAAAGCGAAGCCAAATTATCGCCAAAGTGAAGCCAAAATCCGGAATAGGTTTGGTCATTGTCTGTTGGCGCCAAATTGCAAACAGTCCGCACGTATACACGAACAGACCCTGCTTGGCGTTTGGTGGCAATCTGTCGTCAATGCGACAAGATCATCAAAATCAGTGAGATATCCCCTTTAATGTAAATAATAATTACCTTTACTTTTAATATTCTTCGAGTACATGTGCGTTCCCGGTGCACTTTGATTGGTACCGCCATTTTGAGAGGTATAATTAAATGAACCAATAAAAAGTTGTCAACAAGATGTTCAGACTCTGTATTCAAGAGATACTATTGATATGACAGCAATAGTAGCAAAAACAAAAAAAGAAAAAAAAATACATTCTTATATCTTTTTTATTTTCCGTTCTTATCTATATGTTTATTATATCGAGAAGGTTGTGTCAGAAAAATATTTATCAACATCTATCTGTCTATTCTGTTACTCGTCATTTTAAGAAACGTTGTTATCCCGTTTGGCCGCAGAAAAAATTTCTTATACAAGATAAAATTAGAAAGCTGCAATATTTAACTCTGCAAAAATGTGACTTTCGCACCACTCACAGCTTACGCTCATCAGGCATATGTATTTTCCTGGGTTTTATCTTGCGAATTAGCGCGTTTCTGATAGGACGCTTTGTGAGAATATGGTGGGCACGTAAATCCGAGAAAGAAAAAGAAGAACACAAAGATTGGTTCAGAGAAAGACGTAATGTAATTTTAGGTACAGGTTTTGTGTGAAATATCAAATTATTGTGCGTTGTACGATAACACGATAATTGTTTAATATGTTTTTTTTTTTTTTGTGTATTTTGCTGTATTCATCTTTCTTATTTCTCACAAGGTTGTTTTGGATTGTACGGTCTTTTATTGCTTATTTATTACATAACTCATCTCGAAATCGAACCACTGACAAAACGTTCGAGATTTAACATATTTGACAAGGAATATGAAAAATATCTGGGAAAAATAATTTTTGAAGATGTAAGTATATATATATCTCGTTACAAATGTCCATTAGACGTTCACAGCTTCATGTAATAATTAAACGAGTGTCTAATAAAGATTTCTGTAAATTGTTCTGTGGGGACAGTGATTAAAAAAAAAGTATAAAAAACCTTACCAAATGTTTGTTTTTTCAAGAGTTTGATTGAATTATATGATTGAAATATATAATAAATGTTATTACTTTTTATTCAGCAAATAGAAATGTATAAAAATTATTTGTTATCGGAGACTCATCCAAATTACAAGAGGATTCAAAAGGTGATAAAAAAACTTGTAACAGCCAATTCGGACATAAGATCAATAAGAGAAACAAATTGGACTTTAAGCGTTATCAATAAATCATCACCAGATGTATCATATGCTTATGTTATACCCGTATGATTATCAAAATATATGCAATATTTATGTTTTTTTAATATATATACATATATATTGTATAAGATATTTCGTGATATTATCCCAGATAATATATGTTGATGTCTTAATAACATATGTCAAAAGACGTTCCCAGCAAACACAAAGTAACAGTAACGTAACATTAATGTTATAATTTCTCACTCAATGATGTAACTGCAATGTAACACACGCCTTGTACGTAGAAGTTACATTGTTGAGTGGGAAATTATAACATTAATGTATTACACGTAACTGTTACTTTGTGTTTGCTGGGTTACTTTGCTCTCTGTGAGATTTTTATTATTATACTTTTTATTCTCTTAGGGTGGACATATTTTTGTTGCCTTAAATGCTTTAAAGATTGTTGAAAATGATGATCAATTGGCCTTTCTCTTGGCTCATGAAATAGCTCATTCGTTGCTCTTGCATTCGGTAAGATAGTCTAAGAAAAATATTGCATAGATATGTATTTTAATTATTCTCTGTACAGAATACGATAAATATAAGTACTCTTTGTTGATATAGCTTGAAGCAATATCCCAAAAAGTATTATGGGATTTCTTAACAGTTATACCTATATTTTTTATTTGGTCTTTACTACCCGATATAAAGGCTACTGTAGTACACTTTTTGGCGGAGCAAATTGTGAATATTATTTACAAACTTCCGCACAGAAGAATTTTGGAACGAGAAGCTGATGATGTAGGAATTAAACTGACTGCAAAAGTACGTGCGCATTTTTAATATGATTTGATCATACATAATTTAATCCCTAATAGGCACATTTGTGAAAATATTGCACAAAAATGGCATCATGAATGGCGACGATTTTGCAACGATTGCACTAAGACGATTCGTCATAACGCAACAGTTTTGTCGAAATAAAATTTTGTAAATAATATTTGTCAAAAATTGCGAAAAAGTCGTTATGCATTTCCACAGTATATACCTCCAATAGGCGAATTGTGAAAATATTGCACAAATATGACATCATGAGTGACGACGATTTCTTGCGTTTCTTCATACGCAATCATATTTCTACATATTTGAAACATCACATAGCTAGAATTTCTTTTCTCAATTATTGGACAATTTCTTTGTGAAATTAATTTTGCAAATATACCGCTAAGATGATTCGCCATATCGTTGTTCTTTTGCCGAAATAGTATTTTGGAAAGTAATTTTGCAAACAACTACAAATATTTCAGAAAAGATCAATGTTTTTGCATCTATTTTCTAAAATATGTCTGTATAATTGCAAATAACAATTTTAGTGCAAGATTTCGTCACATAATTTTGTAAATGGTTTCCTATCGGGGATGTTACGTGTGTGTTGTTACTTTTGTAATATCAACTTTACTTTTTGTTATTATTTGCGATTTAATGTATTTCTTACTCAGGCTTGCTTCGATATTCGTGAAGCCGTTGTATTTTGGGCTACATTAAGAACGCTTACAGAAATGCGTATTTTACCTCGGGATTTGCCATGGATATCGTCGCATCCCGACCACGGGGATAGAGAGAAAACCCTAAACACAGCCATGGTTAAAGCTTTAGAATTACGGAACAGATCGGGAGTATGTTTTTCACATATAATTTTACACAGATAAAAGTATATATATATATATATATAAGATAATATACGAATTTTTAAACTATATATATTAATTTCGCAGTGCTCAGTATTACCTGAAATTGATCCAAGAGACAGGTTCTATAAACGATCGACGACGGAAAATAAGATTTATTTCAGAGAAAGAGGAATAATTTCATGAAAAAAATTGATTTTTTTCAGACCATTTTGCGATTGATCACAAAGTGAGATGCGAAAAAGAACTACTACTGCTAATTACATATGAAGACCACAGGGGAAGAACTTGATAAGTCACATTTTCGTGATTTTTTAGAGGAGAGCGATTTTAAAGCTCGAAACGTATATGTATTTCTGTGTTACACGTTTTATAAAAATGCGTTTTATATTTATATCTCGGAATCTATCAAGAATTTCCCTTTTTTGCTTTGAATAATTAAAATAATCCATTTTAACTACCAAATAACATCAAAAACCGAAAATAAAAAAAATCGACTTATCAAGTTCTTTTCCTGTGTGGTCCAGAGATGCCAGTTTGCGGACGCTAGCAACATGCAGCAGCAAGTGGAGGGGATACGCACACAAGCGAGCAGCCACTCGCCGAGGCGCTGAGCGCACACGTACACGGCTGTTCGCCTGTGTGCGTTTCGTCTGTGTATCCCCTCTACTTGCTGAGCATGCTGCTAGCGTCCGCAAACTGGCATCTCTAGTGTGGTCGTCATGTAAATATTACTGGCAATCACGCAAGAATATTACAGTCGAACCTCCCAAAACTTATACAGTCGGGACCGACGAGCCTCCCAAAACGTATACTTCCCCTATTCCCTCACTCTTTAACTCGCGCATGCGCAAAGACTTACTTTTGGTATAAATTCATCTCCCACTAGCGCAGTTTCGGTTGTAATCATACTTGGTGATGGAAAAAGTGATGAAGGGGAAAATACGTTTTGAGAGTGGATTTGTGCACGTTTTGGAAGATTTGTCTGTATTAAGTATTACACGAAATATATTATTGGATATCACAAAAAATATTACAGAGAGGATATTACTGAGAATATTACTGACAATTGCACAGAATGTCAGTAATATTATTTCGTATCACTACCACCAATATATTACTGCCTAAATATTGCTGCCAATAATATAGTAATATAAAAAGTCTCTGTACTATTTCAGTGGTTGAAAAATAACAAGTCAACATTTTTCAGCCATTATTTCCGGATAAATATCTTTTAAAATTGACTGAAAATCGTTACTAAAATATTGTTTGTCTTATCTGCACTTACTATGATTACAAAAAAATGTATTAACATAATACACATTGTAAACAACATAGAGACAGATTAAATTGTAAATTCGCACGTTTGTAATAACAATTGTAAATACATAAGAAAATAATAAGAATGATAAATATATGAGTTTTGAAGAAGAATCATAAATTGATAGCCAAGCATGTTTTGTAAAATTATGTAACTTAATGCCAAGCAGAAGTTTTCGACTAATTGTTGTGTATTTGCTGAAAACGTAATAATAACCCTGATAGGAAACCATTTACAAAATTGTGTGACGAAATCTTGCACTAAAATTGTAATTTGCAATTATACAGACATATTTTAGGAAATAGATGCAAAATCATTGATCTTTTCTGAAATATTTGTAGTTGTTTGCAAAATTACTTTCCAAAATACTATTTCGGCTAAAGAATAACGATATGGCGAATCATCTTAGCGGTACATTTGCAAAATTAATTTCACAAAGAAATTGTCCAATAATTGAGAAAAGAAATTCAGCTATGTGATGTTTCAAATATGTAGAAATATGATTGCGTATGAAGAAATGCAAGAAATCGTCGTCACTCATGACGTCATATTTGTGCAATATTTTCACAATTCGCCTATTGGAGGTATATACTGTGGAAATGCATAACGACTTTTTCGCAATTTTTGACAAATATTATTTACAACATTTTATTTCGACAAAACTGTTGCGTTATGGCGAATCATCTTAACCTTTTCGCTCCGGGACTGGTCCATATATGGACCAGCAAGAAAAGCGAACGTAATAGATGTTTATAAGGTCAATTTAATGCACTAAATTTAGGAAAAAAATTGAAAAAAATCCTGGTTACTTCTTTGACCTTCAAAATTAACTTTGAAGAGGGGGGTAGCAGGTTATTATTAACTTTTTCAGCTAAAATGCGAGGTCAATTTTAAAGGAAAAATCCCCGGAGCGAAAAGGTTAAGCTGTGTTCCAGAATTGCTGCCAGCACGCTGCCAGTACTAAAATTGTACGGTATATGTGACGCAAACTATAGATCTTTAGCGCTGGCAGTGAATTTTGGAACACAGCCTTAGTGCAATCATTGCAAAATCGTCGCCATTCATAATGCCATTTTCGTGCATTATTTTCACAAATGTGCCTATTGGGGAAAGCGTTTATCGGTGTAAAGGCCTCCGCACAAACTCTTTCGTAGCGCGTTACGTTAAGTGCTAATCGTAAACTTCGATTCGTACGTAATTTTAAACTTTATTCAACGCACAAACAAACTTACCACGTTTATGCTACGTTAAGTTAAGTTTTGTTTGTGCGTTGAATAAAAGTCAAAGTTTAAGTACGAATCTAAGTTTATGGCCAGAACTTAACGTAACGTAATGCATTACGAAGGAGTTTATGCGGCGGCCCTAAGATGGAACGGGATTTGGTATGCAAAGCAAAGTCATTGGATGCGCGTTCTATTTCATGCACATGCGCGCATGATCTATAGTATACGTCACGTGTACTATGAATAAATGCGCGCATACGCATGAAACGGAACGCATCCATGGATGGATTTACTTTGCAAACCTTCTTGTGACCCTGTCCCTTCTCCTGCCTCACCAGATTTCAAAAATCTTGATGATTCAAAAAAAAAAAAATAATTAAGATCGAAAATATTTGTTTTGCACTTTGTCCTTCCCTCGCCTCGACTGCCTACTCCTGTCTCTTATTTTTGTCGCCGTATTCCTCGCTACACCCGTTCGAACTCGTCAAATTTCCTTTCACAAATATGTCTGTATAGATCTAATTAGATCCACATTAAATTTAAATAGATTTAGAGTAGATCTAAATAAATATGAGCAGATCTATAAAATTTTTACATCCCTTTATACAGGGTGATTCAGAACAACCCGTTATCTTTGAAAATACATATTCTTGACTAAATTCTAAGACAATTTTTTATTTGGCAAAATTTTGTCTGACGCTTACTTTTTGAGTTACTAATAAAAATAGTTGACGTACCATGAGTCGGATTTAAAAGGTAGGCAG